CTGGATAGTCCTGGCTGCTAGGGTGGGTCCACTACACTCGGAGTAGACCCAGGAAGTTCCAAGGAGGGGATGTGGGGAGTTGGGCCTAGGCAGAACTCAGACTCTCCTCAACTGGAGGGCAAAGGGGGCCAAGACCGTGATGCAGGCAGACTCCAGAGAGTTCAGGTTTCCGGGGTGGGTTTACTACATGCTGAGCAGACCCAGGAAGTTCCAGGAAGGGGATGGGTGGAGTTGAGCTTGGGTGTAACCCAGAATTGCCTCAAGCAGGAGGGGGGGGGCAAGACTGCCATTCGGGCATACTCTGGATAGTCCAGCTTCTGGGGCAGGTCTACTCTATTGGGAGACTTTTAACAACTGCTTCTATGTCACTAGGTCTGTTTAAACTGCTTATTTTATCTTGATTAACTTCATTAATCAGAATGTATTGGGAAAAATATCAATTTGGTGGAGTACATGTTTTTAAAAGTATATTCTTAATGATTCTCTGGGTTTCTTCAATATCTGTTGTTATATCCTCTACTTTTGTTTCTGATTTCGTTAATTTGGACATTTACTCACTGCCTAGTTAATTTAGATAAGGGTTTGTTTATTTTCTCAAAGTACTAACTCTTTGTTTCATTGATTCTTTGTGTTGTTCTATTTGTTTCTATTTTATTGATTTCAGTCCTGAGTTGATTATTTCTTTTTGTTTGTTTGTTTATTTTTTGTTTTTTGAGACAGGGTTTCTCTGTGTAGCTTTAGAGCCTTAGCTGGAACTCTCTCTGTAGACCAGGCTGGCCTCCTGCCTCTGCTTCCTGAGTGCTGGGATTAAAGGCATGCGGCAAGTTGATTACTTCTTGCCTTTGAGTCCTCTTTGGTGTGGTTACTTCTTTTTGTTCTAAAGCTTTCAGGTTTTCTGTTAAGTTACTAGTATGAGATTGCTGAAATTTTTTCATGTGGACCCTTAGTGGTAGGACTTGTCTTTTTTAAAAGATTTATTTATTTATTATGTATACAATGTTCTATCTGCATATATTCCTGCACACCAGAAGAGGGCACCAGATCTCATTACAGATGGTTGTGAGCCACCTTGTGGTTGCTGGGAATTGAACTCAGGACCTCTTTTAGAACCGATTTAATTGTGTCCCATTAGTTTGGGTATGCTGAGTATTCATTTTCATTCAATTCTAGAACATCTTTAATTTCTGTTTTAGTCTATTTTTTATTCAGATGTGAATTGTTCTCCTGATCAGTTCAATGAGTTTGTAAGTTTCCTGTTGTTTCTAGTTTTGTTGCTATTCAGCTTGAATGCATGGTGGTCAGAGAGGATGCAAGAAGTTATTTCAACTTTCTTGTGTCTTTTGAGATTTTCTTTGTGTCTGAACATGTGGTAAACTTTGGAGAAAGCTCCATGACGTGCAGAGGAGAAAGTATATTCTTTTCTCCTTGGTTGAAATGTTGTGCAAATGTCTGTTAGGTGCATTTGGTTCTTGTCCATTAGCTCTGTCATTTCTGTGTTTAGTTTATGTCTAGATGACATGTCTATTGGTTAGAGTGGAGTACCGGAGTCTCCCCATATCGGTGTGTAAGAGTTAATGTGTAATTTAAGCTGTAATAGTAATTCCTTTACAAATATGGGTACCCTTTTGTTTGGGGCATAGATGTTAAGAACTGAGATGTCCTTCCTCTTGGTGGATTTTTCCTTTGGTGAGTATGCAGTGTCCTTCCCTGTCTCTTCTAATAAGTTTGGGTTTGAAGTCTATTTTGTTAGATATCAAAACAGCAATATCACCCTGCTCCTCTGGTTCATTTACCTGGAATCTCTCTCTCTAACTCTACAATTCTATGCCTATCCTTGTTGTTAAGGTGTGTTTCTTGGTTGCAGCAGAAGGATGTATCCTGTTTTTGCACCTATTCTGTTTGTATGTGTTTTTTAATTGGGGAATTGAGACCATTGATATTGACAGATGTCAATGAGCAATGTTTGTTGATCCCTATTATTTTGTTGTTGATGCTGTTATAGTTGGGGTGGAGGGTTTCCCTTCTTTTGACTTTGCTTGTCTGGGATTATTTGTTCTCTGTTTTCTTAGATGTAGTTAACCTCTGTAGTTTGGAGTTTTCCTTCTAGCACTTTCTATGGGGCTGGATTTTTAGACAGATATTGATTAAATTTGGTTTTTATCATGGAATATCTTATTTTCTCCATGTATAATAACTGAAAGTTTTGCTGGGTATTTTAGTCAGGAATGACATTTGGGGTCTCTTAGAGTCTGCAGCACCTTTGTACAGACACTTCTAACTTAGAGTCGCCACTGAGTAGTCAGGTGTAATTTTAATGCATCCGCCTTTATAAACTACTTGTACTTTTACCCCTTGCAAAATTTAATGATCTTTTGTAGCATGAAAAATATAAAAGATCCAGAGACTGATATTGGGGTTCAAGCTTCAAGCTGAGGTTAGAAAAGCAAAGCAGCTGGGTACTAGCTTTCACTCTACCTCAGACTGAAAGCGATTCTGGCTCCATCAAACCTCACCGCTCCTCAGCGTGGCTGGAGAATTCTGAGTTTCAATGTCTCCCTATCCTCAGTGTGGTTAAAGAATGAATGCCTGATACTGACTACTGAAGACCCTGCTCCTATCTTTTATACCCCTTTAGTGCTGGGATCAAAGACGTGTGATCCCAGGTGCTGATTGTCTTTGTGTGAGCTGTTTCTCTTTAGGACTGGATCAATCTTGTGTAGATCCGGGTGACCTTGAACTTGCAGAGATCCATCTACCTCTTAATCCTGAGTCCTAGGGTTAAAGGTGTGTACTACTACCTCCTAGCTTCTGGCTGCTCTATAGCTTGAGGCTGACTTTGCTATTCTGAATCCTCAGGCAAGTTTAATAAATCACAAATAATGTATCACCACAATCTTTTTGTTTTATATGTTTAGTGTTTTGATTATTATGTGCAGTAGGGACTTTCTTTTCTGGTCCAGTCCATTTGGTATTCTGTGTATTCTTATACTTTGATAGGCATCTCCTTCTTTAGGTTAGGGAAATTTTTCTCTATGATTTCATTGAAAATACTTTCCATGCCTTTGACCTATGTTTCTTCTCCTACCTCTATTCCTATTATTTATAGAAATGGTCTCTTCTTAGTGTTCCAGGTTTCCTGGATGTTTTGTTCCAGGAGATTTTAGGTTTAACATTTTCTTTGAATGATGCATGATCTACTTATGTCTTTGAGATTCTCTCTTCCATCTCTTATATTCTGCTGGTAAAACCTACCTCTGTCTGTCAGGCCTGTTCAAGCTCCTAAATTTTTTATTTCCTGATTTCCTACAGTTTGGCTTGATTCTATTTCTACTTTCAGGTATTGAACAGCTTGAATTATTTCTCTCCACTGTTTATTTGTGTTTACATAGATTTCTTTAAGGGACCTATTCATTTCCTCTTTACGGAACTCTATCATATTCATAAAGCCTGTTAAGGTCTCTTCCTTGTGCCTCATCTAGGTTGGAATATTCAGGGTCTGCTGTCAGAGGGCTGCTGGGCTCTGTGGACCCATATTGTTCTGGCTATTATGGGTTGTGTTTTTACAATGGCATCTAGTTGTCTGAGATTTTGAAGACTGTAGCTGTAGGTGTTGCTATCTGGTCTTGTCTTGGTGGTGGGTGTTTTGTTCCTTGGTTTCTTTTCCTCTCTGGATTTTAGGGAAGTGATGGCTGTTGCCTGGTAAGACATTTTTCTTGTGTCTTGACAGGTGTAGCCACTGGGGGTTCCAGTTAGAATGTTTTATGGGTACTGAAAGCTGACACTTAGATTAGGGTATATGCTGGAGGGACTGAGGTGTTTCATCGGGATCTGCTCGGTTCCCTGGGGAATTGGTGCAGTGTGAGGAGAGGACGCAGCGGAAAGTCTGTTGCAGAGCTGGGGATACGACTGGGGGATTTGACTTGGAGGAATGGAGAGATGGAGAAGACCTGCAGCCAGTTCATGTGCTTCTCTAGACAGGGCGGTCTGTGGGTTCCTAAGGAATTCCTGCTGGAGGTGAAGACTGGGACAAAGCAATGGGTGGAGGTAAAGAAGTTTGGATGGGAATATCTGTGTGACCCACTAGATGGGGGCTCTCCTCAATAGGTGCTCTGCTGCAGAGCTGGAGATGAGGTCAGGGAATTACATCTGGAGGAGCAGAGGGAGAGGTGACGAACTACAGTCAGCCTACCTGCTTCCCTGGCAGGAATATTTATTTCTTACTGTTAGCTCAAGGGCCTCTTACATTTCACTCACTGACATATTCCCACTCCTCATATAGCAGCTGACACATGATTCTCAACAAGTATTATCTTTTAAACATCTCCTAATTCACATTAGTGGCCATTGCTCCAAAGAGCTTTTCCCAGCTTCCCTCCATCCCCTATTCTATACTCCATATACTGGCTTGGTCCCACACCACCTTGTCCTTGTCTTTACTATACTAACAAGACAACATACTGCTAATTTTGAGGAGACAGAGTCTCAGGTAGCCCAAGCTGGCCTCAAGCTTACCATGTAGACAAGGAGTACTCTCACTGTGTGGTTCTTCTTCTGCCTGTATCTCCTGAAGGCTAGGAAGACAGGAACATATTCTTCCAACAAAGCTACACCCTCAGCCCAGGTTGATTTGTTTTTATGTTCAACTGACACTTATGTATTAAATCTGTTCGAGTATAATTATGTAGTAACGATGTCTGCCTATGGCTAACATGCTTTGTGAATAAAATTGAACAAACAGGAAACAGACTCATAGAGGGAGATGACTTGGAACCCATTTATTCAAAACTCTATGAGGGTGGAGGCTATGAAAGAGAAAGTACCAGGATCAGCCTAGTACCCTTTTCCTTTTGATGATTAAATCAGTATGTTCTGCTCCACCCTGCCCCACCCTGGTTTCTCAGGCTGTAACTTCTTCTTCCTCTACCAGCTTGAGCTAAAGCTGGGCCACTGGACAGCATTGCTATCTCCAGGATGGGTCTCACTCTGACTTTCATTAACAGATCATTCAGGATCAAAAGAAATTGCTACAACTGGCAGCAACATAACCCTGCAAGCCTTAAAGAAACAGCTTGGACCCTACAAATATCTCACCTGGCTTTACACTACCAAACAGAAGATTTTAGAATATGAGTATAACGGTACAGAGACTATCTTTGATTCTGTATTTAAAGGTAGGGTCAAACTTAACCTTACAAGTGGTGCACTTCATATCTATAATGTCAGTAAAGAAGACAAAGGTGACTACTACGTGAGAGTGTTGGATGAAATGGAGCAAGAGTACCCCATAACCCTGGATGTATTTGGTAAGTTTTGGAAGCAAAGGAAAATGCTTATTCAGGGACCTTGCCAATCTACTGAGGGCCAGGGGTTCTGACTAAAGAGGGAGAAGAGAACATGAGGACACACTTAACTCATTCCCCCCAGAGACACATCTACTTGTGAGTGAGCCTAGCCCAGCATATATCAAAACTAATAACTGTCACCCATTTAAAATCTCTTCTGAAGTAAGCGAGTCCAAGATTTAAAGAGAAATTGTGTTAATTTTTCATTACTGAGACAAAATCCTCAGATAAAGAATTCAGACAAGGTAAGGTTTATTTGGGCTCGCAGCTCCAGATGTTGTGTGGTCCATGGTCAATGGGATGCGTCATGTGGAGCTGTGCTCCCACGGCATCATGGCGGAGGTGGGCAATGGAGCAAAGCAGCTCACCCCAGGCTGGGAAGGAGGTACTAGGATGAAGGGACAAGGACAAGATGCCTTTCAAACATATGTTCCTAGTAACTCACTTTCCCAACTGGGTGCCTCCTTCCAGTTTCTACCACTTCCAATAGTCCATTCAAGTGTTAATCCATCAATAAATCAACTAATTGATGAGAACAAAGCTTTTTGGACCAATCACTTTCCACAAATACTGCCTACTAGTGACTAAACCTTCAATGTGAGGCTCCTTTGCAGAGCCACAAACAGGAAGGAACAAACCATACCAGACTGGAAATAAAGACTACTTATTCTATCCTGTAAGCAACCTAAATTAGTTTTGAATGGGACTTAATTCTGTCTGAACTCAGACTTCATCAGACTTATAGAAAAATATACTAAAAACATAAATTAAGTCAGTTCTCCGAGAAAGTTCTATCAGATTGAGTATGACAAAAATTTCCACTTGCAGCTTCAGCCTAACCAGTTCATATGGAAATAAGACTAGGGCATTATCCTTGGAGTCAGGCAGATCTAGGTTCAAAGCTCCAATTCAATGAAATAACTATGCACAGAAAAACAAACACTCCCATATTCTCACTCATTTGTGGAAGCTAAGAAGGTTGATTCCATAGTCACCAGAGTGAAGTTGGATAATGAAAACCAACATGAAGTTAAATAGAAGGGGCTGTCTCTGGGATCCCATAGCACAGTATTTAAAAAATAGCTGGAAAAAAATCTCAAAGATTCCCATCACAAAGAAATAGTAAATATTTGAGGAGGTAAATCTCTATTTTCTTGAAGTAATTATTACACATGTATGTTTAATTATCACGTAGTATCCCACAAATATGTATAGTTATTATGTGTCCATTAACACTTTAAAAACCCTCTGACCAGTTACTCAGTAGCTGTGGCACCATGGTGTAAGATATTGATATATTTTGTCCATATTAGGTAAGATTCTTTGGAGGGAAGTAACAGAAGCCAATTCTTTGTACATTTATAAAAAAAATAAAATAAAATGAGATGTTGTTCTAAGGAACTCTGCAGAACCATTCAAGAGAGTATAGAGGAGCTTAACTCTTAATGCTTGACTTTGTGGCCAGTCAGAAACTCATAAAGAAAATTACACTTATTTTCAGTTTGCCTAGATTATTTAATGCATTTCGCTATGTGACCTTATGTCTAGATACTTAATAAACACACTAACCTTGCTTCGTTTTGGTTCATTATGGAATTCTTTTCTGCAAGTCACCAAAGATCCATCTCTATCCAAATGGAGGTTCCCAAAAAGACTTCTTAGAGTCCATGGTGAACAGGAATGAAGCAAACTTAACGAGTTTATTAAGTACTTAGACAGAGGGTCATATAGAAAAAGACATTACATCATCTGGGCAAATTAAACAAATCCGTTTTCTTTATGAGCTTCTGATTCACAATGGCAACAAAGATGGCAGGTTTATAGAGCTAAGCATCCTGAATGGCAGCGTGAAGGGCTTTGCTGTGTGCAGGATGAGGTCCTTCAGGATTCTCCCTAATCTGAAGTCCAGGATTCTTGAGGGAAAGAGTGGTCCCCAGTGGTGCTTCCTGTGGGCTTTTGTTAGAGGACAGACCTTAAGTATCTCAGGTAGTTAGGGAACACAGTCAGAAGCTAGCTGCTCTCCCCATTAGCGCTTGACTCACAGATGACCATCACCCCACTTTGTTCCTAATGGCATGTGATGAACTCTGGCTCCCCCTCCTGGATCCACCTAAGCATCACCACCAAAATGTAGCCTCTTGAAGACAAAGTTGCTCCCTGGCTCCATCTGTAGGAGTCATTTGTCCATAACCACCTTGAATCATGACCCCTCCATGGTCCCTTTTGTAGTTTGCTGGCCAAATCCTTGCATCATAAATGCCACAAAAATGCATAAGTCCTTTGTCTCATAACAAGTTTTTTTTCAGATCCTGTGTCCAAGCCTCTCATAAAATTTGAGACTAAAGATTTGCCTGGCTCTTGTCATCTGAAGCTATCATGTAAGACAGAGCAACAGAATGTTGAGTACACTTGGTATGATGACTCTGGGTCTCTTCCCAAAGACGGTACAGGAGATGTGCTCGAAAGAATCGTCACTCCACAGAACAAGTCTACATTTTACACCTGCGAAGTCCGCAATCCTGCAAGCAGCAAAAATGACACAGTGTACTTCACTCTACCTTGTACTGTGGGTAAGAATTATCTTCCAGGGAGCTGAAGAGGGCACATGATGCCTGGTTTCTTTTGAATGAAGAAAGATATGGGGTCCCTACTCCACCTTCTGACAGAGAATGTGGAGGGGAGTCTCAAAGGTATCGTTGGAGTTGGAGAGACCTGGCTTCCACCTGGCTCTATAACCACCCACCAGCCAGCTACCCTTATCTTTCCTAAAAAGCTGAGTCCTGAGTAATTGTAGGATGGTCTGAGATACAAGAGCAGCTGGGGAAAGTAGGAAGGCTGGAGAGCAGTGCAGGTAAGGAAATAAGCAAGAGTGGATGAGTGTGAGAAAGGCTGGTGAGTAGGAGGGCTCTCATCCTCAGAGAGACTGCGCCAGTATTACACTCCTAGTAAGGGCAGGAAGGCGGGCGCCAGGCTTCGTGTTTCAGATTCCTCTGTGTTGCCTAGGAGCATCATTCACATCTTCTCAACCCCTTTAATTCAGACCGGCCACTGAAGTTCTAGATTTTAGAGTTAGTCACACCTCCCTCAGGTCAATCCTGAGATAGATAGTCTCTGTTAATTCAGACCTGCCACTGAAGTTCTAGAGTTTAGAGTTAGTCACACCTCCCTCAGGTCAATCCTGAGATAGTCTCTGTATTAGGTATTTTTATTGTTGATATGATAAAATACCATACCACAACAGCTTAAGTGAGGAAGGGTAAGAATTCAGCCCATTATGACAGGGAAGGCCACAGGAATGTGAGATACCAGTTCCTGTTGCGTCCACAGTCAGGAAGCAGAGACATGGATGTTGGTACTCAGTGGACTTCCGCCTTTCATTCCCCAGCTTATGGCATGGAGCTGTCCACACTCAGTGTAGATCTTCCCTCCTCAAGTGTCTCTAGAAATATCCTAAAAGACACTCTCAGATGTGTATCTCCTAGGTGAGCCCCTGGCCCACAAGTTAACAACTGAGTTTAACTACCATAGTCAGTGCTAACAAGGTGGCTTCCTTTCTTCAAGCTATATTTCTCTTAGATGTAAGACAAAATAATAGTTCTTACAATGCTACAAGGAATAAATAAATGATACATGTAACCTATTTAACACTGATCCCGGCAAAATAATCACAAATGGTAAATAGTAATTGATTAATGATAAATTAATAGCATCTAAGTTAGGTTTGGTTCCTCGAACTCCGGAGACTTTGGCTGAACTCCTTAATAATTTTGTTTACAATCTCCAGAACTCTGTCCATCCCATCTTCCATATTTAAAAGTGCCATCCTTCAAGGCTAAAGATGGCTCAGCAGTTAAGAGTGCTGGCGGCTCTTCCAGAGGTCCTGGGTTCAATTCCCAGCACCCACATGGCAGCTCCCAACTGCCTGTAACTACAGGTCTGGTGGAAATGGCATCCTCACACAGACATATATGCAGACAAAACACCAGTGCACATAAAATAAAAATAAATGATATTTTAAAAATGCTTTTTCTAAAAGTACCATCTTTCAGCCCTAACATACAAGGTTTTTTCAGACTAGTTCATACTTGTTGTTACAATGCTTTTTTGTGACCCATATCATGTCCATGTAACTTTCCTGGCAGGAATAAAGATATTCCAAAGAGAAACATGTGTTCTCCATTTGGAAGCAGGTAATTTCAGTATTAGCTGTTGAAAAGTGGGGTGTGTTGGTTCATCTAATCCCGGCTCTTAGGAGACTGAAGTAGGAGGGTAAACTAGTTTGGCGTCATGATGAGACGTCTCACAGCTGACAATAAAAATGGAGTCACTTGAACCAATCCTTCCCAAAGCAACTAAAGCTAAGGGGTTATGGAGAAATTATTCTTGTGCATAATTACCTGACACTTGCTGTCTCCTGGCTGCAGCTCCTACTTGTATTCTATTTGTGAAATTCATTTCAGAAGCAAGCAAATTTTACCTCAAGACTGAGGTGTACCAGTTGTAGAGTGAAGCCTTTTCCTTGCCAGCTGCTTTGGTTTTTCCCCACCAGTTGCCTGGGCTCTGCCGCGTTGTAGTCCCCAAATAACACACAAGACGCTGTATTTATTATGAAGCTGTTGGCCTTGCTTGTTTCTTACTGGCTAGCTCTGACTTAAGTATTTACTCCACAATTGTTAATCTTTAGTATTTCTCTTACTGGAGAAAGGTCCGGACTTCTTACCCCAATGGCCACTACATGGTGACTCCCTGTGTTTCTCCTTCCCAGAGAACTCCTCGACTCCTAGTCCCACCTATCTTGCTTCCCTATTGGCCAACAGTGCTTTATTGACATATACACAGTACTTCCCCATCACCAGGTCTCAGGGAGCTATGCAGAAGAGCAGGCAGAAAGATCGTAAGAGTCAGTGTGGGATGCAGGACGCCAAAGAAACAGTGCCTTCCAGACACAACAGGACTGATGCACATATGAACTCAAAGTGACCACGGCAGTATATACCAGGCCTGCACAGGTCCAAGCCAGATGGGGTCCCAGCACTGAGAGGGGGGAGCCCCCATCCCTAACCCATAATCTATTTCCAAATGTCTACTGCTTGTAAAGAAAAATTGATTTCTCTGATGGAGCCTCACTGAATACACAAACCACAATGGCCCATGCCCTGCAGTAGATGACCAACACGAAGTGAATTCAGCGATATTTGGGGAGATCATTTTTGTCTCATAATGGTTTGTTTGAACATTTTTTACCTTTACTCTTCTTTTGCTTATATATTGTGGTTTCCGATGCTATGGGTCTGCATATGTATGTTTCTCATGTCTTTTCTTTGTTCTTTTTTCTGTTTGTTTTATTCTGGTTTGCTTGTTTTCTAAAGAGACAGAGAATGAAAGTATGGGGTTGGATGGGTGGGGAGGTGAAGATCTTTGAAGAGATGAAAGAGGGAAAAACCATGATCAAACTTTATTGTATAAAAATATTTTTTCAATTTAAAAAAGACTGAGGTACAAAAACAAAGAGTGGGGAAATGCAGAAACATAACCATCTTGGCAGGAATAAAGATGTCCTACTAAAGAGATAATGCTACCTTCCTTTTGGATATTAAGCCATTGAAACAGTGGCCACTGTGGTGGTTTGAATGGAAACAGTGACCACCACAGGCTCATATATGTGGATGCTTACTCATTAGGGAGTAGCACTACTTGACAGGGATTAGAAGTTGTGGCCTTGCTGCAGTAGCTATGGCCTTATTGGAGAAAGCAGGCCACTGGGAGTGGGCTTTGGGGTTTCAAATGTTCACGCCAGGCCTAAGGTCTCTCTCTGGGCCAGACATAGTCTTCTTAGCTTCTTTTCCTGCACCATGGCTGCCTTCATTCAACCATGCATCCTGCTGTGCTGATAATGAACTCAACCTCTGAAACTGTAAGCGAGCCCCAGTTAAAATGCTTCTCTTTAATAAGAATTGCCATGGACATGGTGTGTCTTCACTGCAGCAGATCACTGACTAAAACAGACCCAAAGGAATAAGAATTTATCTGAAGAAATGCCAGCAGGACTAAATTTAGATTGAGAGCACTTTTATGAGAACACACTGTCTGCTAACACACTTGGCATTCAAGGATCTCATATCATATTCAAATAGAGACTAGTGTGCACAATGAATGAACTGGTGACCTAGAACAAGACACACTGCCATGCTGTTTTCTGAGAGCACTCTGTTGCCCTCTAGTGGACGGCACGGCTCAGGAGACACTTCCTGCATTTGGAATTAGACACTACCCAGTTTGAAACTGCCTTTTGTCTTTTTAATGTAGCTGACAGATCAGAAGTGGGTAGTAAAACCAGAGTTCTACACTTTTGAAACCTTGTTTGTGATTTTGGATTTCTCATCTTCCTGCTCACTGACTTAAAAGTTGACGGCTGATAGTGATGAGAGGTGTGGAACTTACAGTGTGTATTTACACAACTCAGGATGTGTACTGTGCTTTGCTTGGAAAATGAGGATTAAACCTTTTTAATGACCCTGAAAAAAAACGAAAAGAAATAAGAATTTCTCCAGGAGTCTGATATTGTCAGAGAAAAACAAGGATATAAAGCCAGGCACCAGCCAGAGGAAGGACTTGTCTCCAGGGGAGAGATTTCACACACTTATGACAACTTGTCAGAACACCTTGCAGGAGAGATTACAACCAGCACAATGACATGTGGGACTATACTTTGACTGAGACAGCTTACTTATATACACCTCTTGCCTTCTATATAAACCTGAACTTCATGTTAAACCTGAGTATAGACATTGTAGGGGGATGTTACTGGACCTTTGTCCCTCTTCCCAATGTAGTTTTATGTATTAACCCCCTTTATGCTTTCACTATTACTTTGCCTCTTTAATTGGCTTATTAAAGATGGATGGCTGAGCTACCTGGGCCCAGACTCTTCCATAGGTCCCATCACCAGAGACCCTGGGTCCTGGAGACATTGTTACTTTGTGCTTTTCAGGGTTTGTCTTTGTGGGCTGGTTTCTTTGCCTCTGGGCAAAGACCCACATGGGCTGTGGGTCTCTATGTTCTCACCTCAGCTGATTGGTCATGCCTTTTCATCCTCTCCTAAAGTGATCTCTCACTACAGATCCCATGTGACAGACACGGGGTTGTGAGAGCACACGTAGGATGACCATTTTCCTGTTGATACAACATTCTGAGACCCGGAAAAAGGAAAAGGGGTAATTCTGTCTCTTTAAAAGTGGGAGTGACCACAGAGAAAAATAAAACCACCTCCTCCAGTGGGAATTTCCTAGAAAGCACTCCAATTTCTCTTCTCATATTTATCACTCATTCCCCTTTCCTATGATAGCACCTCCCCTTCTCGTTTCTTCATTGTGATCTGTTTTCCTCTCTTCCCTGTCACCTCCCCTTTCCTCCTAGTTAGTGCAGATGATTATTGAGGTAGACAAACAAGGAGAATTTGGCCCCTCTGTCCCTACAGCCATTGGTGCATATGTCAAGGTCCTTATCTACATCTGTCATAGTCGGTCTCGTTGTTCTTGAGTGCATGGGGTTGGTTCTTTCTTGTTCCTACTAATATGTCAAAGGAAGTACCCAGCACAGAATTCATCCAAGCCAATGAAATTTAAGGAATTTCCAAAGTCCTTACATTTGAAGGGGTTGAGTTTTTGCAAGGAGGAGGAGTTCTCTAGGCAGCTGGGGATTAGGTTCAGGGAGGAAGCGGTCTCTCCTGTTTTAAGAGTGTTATTCCTATGCCCAGTCCTCCCTTCTCAATACAATGAACAAGGTCTAAGTGTTTGCGGTTTTCTTCTTTCAGCCAGATCCTCTGGAGTACTTTGGGTTGCAACTTGGCTAGTGGCCACAGTACCCATCATTCATGCCATCCTGCTGACCTGAGATGAACTCAAGAATGAAACTTCAAGGCCACAGGATCCTGCCTTTATCACTAGCAGTACTCCTACCCAGGAAAGCAGCTCTGGCTCTGTGGCACAGAAGAAATTGTGTTGTTGAACATTTGTAAGGGTTTGCATTTTCTTACCATCATAGGGTTAAGTCCAGGGCCTTGAGAATGCTACAGAAGTGCTGTGTCACTGACATGTGTGCCCATATCTTTACAAAAATTTGATAGTAACCTTTCAAAAGTTGTGGTTAATATCTAATTTTATATACACTAGTTGTTTTCCAACATTCATTAAAGACAAATTCATTATTTTCACCAAAATATGTGACTAGATTATGCTATGTTGTTTTTCTTTCTTTTTTAATTGATTCTTTTCTTGTACAATATATCTTAATTAGTTACCCCTCCCTCTAATTCTCCCAGTTTTCACCACTTCTAAGAGGTAAGAATAAAACATAACAAAATAAAATATAATAAGCTAAAACAAAAAACCATCACATGGAAGTTGGACAAGTCAACCCAACAGAAGGAAAAGAACCCTAAGAGTAGACACAAGAATCACAGACCCACTCATTCACACACTCAAGAGTCCCATAAAAATGCTAAAGTAAAGCTATAATGTATTCATTAGAAGATCTGAAAACAAATTGATCTATAAATTTTATGCAACACTGTATTTGTTTTCTGTATGGATTCCTTAGCAAGCGTGCTTGGCATTTTAGATCTAACTCAATGTTTGAAAATATATGTGAACTGGATTGAGAATTCCGTGTAGGCAAGGTTCAAGCAAGGTACTCTAGCAGAAATAGTGATGGCAGAATGGAGACCAACATAACGAGATTGCCATACAAATTGATGCACAAAATAAACTGGAACAACTTAAGACTGGCTTAGCAGGGACTCTAACTTATGCCGCATTGTTGTAAAGAATAAGGATCTTCCCAAGATACTAAGAAATACTATCATTGATGATAACATATGAAAGTGAAGAACCCACCCACTTTTAAAATATATAAAAGGCCAGTCCCAGGTAAAACCCAGGAGTAGAGTCAGCTGAGTTTACCATGTGGTTGTTTACCAAAAATACAGGCAGGACATCCTAACTTTGCTCTTGGTTTTAGTCAAGGTGGTTCATAGAGGCAGTATAAAATCAATATGGAAGTTCAATGCTGCTTTTCTTGCTCAGTGATTTTAAAGAAACCGAGTCATTCCAATGTGACTCTTTGTCTTTTCTAAATCGCATTCTTGGGGCCACATAAAGGCATGCCTCTATGTATTGGCTGTAATAGTATTTTGAAAAATGAGGTACTTCCTTAATTATGTACAACCCAAAATATTGATGTTTTTTTTCCAGGTCATTAAAAAAGCACTTCATTAAAGTGCAACGTTTGAACAATTAAAACTTTTTTTATATGCATGACTGTTTTGCTTGCATGTATACATGTATGTGTAACACATGCATGCCTGGTGCCCTCAGAGGTCAGAAGAGCTGGTCACATCCCCTAGGACTGGAGTTATAAGTTAGAGATAGTTATGAACCACCGTGTGAATTAAGCAAAATGAAACCAGAGTCCTCTGCAAGAGCAGCAAGTGCTCTAACTACTGAGCCATCTCGCTAGACCCCAAGTACAGTGTTCTTTAATTCTTTCTGTTGTTTGTCACGATTGTTACTTAAAGAATCAAGTATATGTGACACAAAAACATTATGATCCTTTTCTTAGTTTAAATAAACTCTTGGGTAATTGGAAAAAGAAAACAAAACACTTAGTAGATTAGGATGGAGGGATAGCTTGGTGGTGGAGCATTTCCCCAACAGATGCGAAGCCCTGGGTGCCATTCTCAGTACTCCAAAGTAACACCCAAGCCACTCCGCAGGTTTACCTTCAGTGCACTCAAACAGTTGGCCTGTGTGTAAAGAGAACAGATCAATATTAGCCCCAAATATTTACCAAGAAGCCTCACCAGGCTCCAATAAGCTCTGTAATATTGCCCTCTGTTGGCTTCCTTGCTTTTGTAAATAATGTAAAGACTTGGGGTTGGACCCATGCTTCTCAAAGGGTCTCGCTGAGGATGCAGAGTCTGGATTTGCAGGGATCTCTGCAGACACCAGGGCTAGCAGAGTAAGAGTCTGCATGAGACAAGAAAGAAATCCAGTTCAGCATGACTCAGTAGCCCATGTTTGTTCAAACTACTAGAGTCTGACACTGGGAAATTTATTGTAGACATATTTAAATACAGTGCAACTTGGACAAAAGTTTCCTGATGTAAACCAATCCCATGTGCACGTTAAGGCATAATTACATCAAAACTATTACAAAGTAGATATCACTACTTTCATGGAGATGGGTTCTATAGAGAGACAACATGTGTTATTTTAGGGGTCTGGGGAGGATTTGGTGTATTCTCAGTCATGCAGATAGAGCAGAGGACACTCCTGGTTCTTTTAGCAGAAACCTGGGGGGAGCCCCTGACCATACAGATAGTACAAAAGTTACCTTAGCTATTAACTACCTCTGTCATGCTTATGGGAGCTGGGAGGCGGGGGGAGCCAGATGTGGCTTGACCCTACAAATAGCACAGCGGTCACCTATACTGTTCATCACCTCCATTCCCAGCCTTCTGGGCAGAAAACTGACTATACATCTCTTCCTTTGAAGAGACAACTCTGTGTGTTTAATATTCCTGATTTCCTTGGTGATTACCAGTAAGCACAAGGACTTCTGTTCTCCCAACATGGATCAGTAGTTCTGAGGTAGGCTCTGGGAGTTAGCATTCAGAACACAATCTCAAGAGCTGCTCATGAGGGTCTGCACAGTCCCTGCCAGTGCTGCCTTGGTTGGTTTCTTTCCTCCCCGAGTGATACAGGAGATGTGGTCTTTTTAACAAGTGCCTTCCAGACTGATGACCCTTGAGACCTGGAGCCCAGCTTTGGCTAAGGTTCCTCAAGACACAGGAAATGCATAAAACGCACTAGTTGGTTCTCTTAGCTGGTGTTTGTTCTTAATGCTGCTTCTCTGGGACCAGGACCAACAGACTTCACATTCTAAGGAGAGTTGCTAAGTAATAGGGGCAAGGTCAAGTCTAGGTCCTACAAAAGGGTGGCTGAACTGGTCCTCATCCCTACTCAGTATAAACAGAAGACTAGACAGAGAGGAAGGGAATTCTTGGGGTTGAAATTATTATATTTTAGAATCAGAGAGCCTTGTGACTTCACCACACACAGGGGAAATCCTCCTCATACAATGCCAAATGAAAGGCACTTCCAAGAGCCTCCAGGTACTTCAATGAAAGGGAGAGTATCACCTTGCTTCCTGATAACCAGGCGTTGGTTGTCTTGCCACCTTTGCCACGAGGTAGGCAGATACCAGCAGCAGGGGATATGCAGTATAACATCAGTGGAGGCTGAATAAAGGAGGTCCAAAAAGGTTAAGACGGAGAAGAGCTTCCATTTTTCAGTAGAAAGCTTCCCACCCCACTACTCTTTCAGAGGCCCCTAAAAGTGCTCTCACCTGTGCTCAGTGAGAACTGTGACAGGAGAGGAGACAGGAGCACCTCACCCAGGAATTAGGGTGAAACCTCTTGCTGACAGAGAAGCAAGAATCCCAGCACAATTAACAACCACTTGAGAACATTCTTCCTGTCCAGATCTCCAACACCCTACATTCCAGAATCTCAACGGAAGCCCCATTTATAAGAAAGGGGCATGTCCTAAACCCCCTGTGCAATTCCAGTGCCTCCAAGTTTAACTTTATCCATTCAGGCCACCCTATAACCTCATTTCCTAAAAAAAAGAGAGAGAGAGAGTTTTGGGTGTGGTGGCGAACACCGATGATCTGGCACTCGGGAGGCAGTGGCAGGAGGATCTCTATGAGTTCACGGTCAACTTGGTCTACAAAGTGAGTTCCAGGACAGCCAGGGCTGCTACACAGAGAAACTCTTGTCTCAAAAAAAAACCCCAATAATAAAAACGAAGTAAGAGCAAGAATGAGGGAGGAAAAGATTTCTTAGCAACCTTTAGTGACATAACTTGAGAGCCACCTAAGTGATAAATATGGTCCAGGCTAAGACAATTAACTGTTTCTCCCCGTGAGGAGCCCATAACCACATTTGAGGGTATCTTACTTTCAGCAACTCCTCTTTGAGAAGTCTATATCCCTGCTCTTGGGTGAGTTTTTATTATCTTCTTGTGAGCTTTTCTATTAAAGTATCTTTAGAGAAAAATATCCAATTCTGCTTCATACTGGCTAGTTCTGAAATTCCTTTGTGCACTGAAGCCACAGGTCCTGGTTTGGCCTGAATCAAGGTCCCTAAAAGATCAAGGGAACTTGTTAGGTGTTGAGGATCACAGAAGGGTGTAGAGTGTATTTTTCTTTGCTAGTCGCCTGGGCCCTGTCACAGTTGCAGTCCCCAAATAACACACAGGGCATTGTATTAATTATGAAGCTGTTGGCCGTTTGCTTGGTTTCTTATTGGCTAGCTCTGACTTAAGTATTTAGCCCATAATTGTTAATCTAAGTATTTCTCTTACCGGAGAAAAGGGACTGGACCTCTTACTCTGGCGATCTACATGGTATCTCACTGTGTCTCTCTTTCCCAGAATCCTCCTCAACTCCTAGTTCCACATATCTTGCTTCCCTATTAGCCGACAGTGCTTTATTCAAAAACCAATAAGAGAGACAGATTTCAGAATGACATCTCCCATCAGAAGGGAGCTGTGTTTCTGCTGCGCCATCACAGACACTCTGTGAACAAGCACGTGGTAGATGTCTGCCACGGGGAGCAGCCACAGAGGAACAGTACTACGTAGAGAGACTGAGACTACCATCCACAGCTAGATAACTAAAAATGGTCTGGTCCTCACCTCTTGCCCTATGTCATGTGAGAAGCTTCAAGAAGATGAGGTAAAGGAGATGGGTGGGGGGAGACCAAATCACGTCCTCTTCCCTATTACAGATATTAGAACATGAGGTAAGCTTAAACAGAAGTGACAGGAAGAGACAAGGGGAGTTTTACATTGAACTGTTAAATTACTGGAAATGACAAAAGTGAAACCGAGAGATTTGCCCCAAACATCCTTAAGCAATGAGTGCAGATGTGACAGGGTCCTCTGGTGCATGGAGAACAAAAGGCCCTCTCATGTTAACTTCCAACCAACCAAATTCAATAATCTAGTTGTTCAAAAATGTGGTTAGGCTGGGCGGTGGTGGCGCACGCCTTTAATCCCAGCACTCGGGAGGCAGAGGCAGACAGATCTCTGTGAGTTCGAGGCCGGGCTGGACTGATAGCCTCCAAAACAATACAGAGAAACCAAAAAAAAATGTGGTTAGATGTATTTACTGAGCATCTGCTATGAGTCGCACTTCCTTCTACATTTAACATACACACACACACACACACACACACACACGCTCACACAGAGAGAGAGAGACAGACACACACACACACATGCTCTCACACACACACAGACAGAGAGAAACAGAGACAGAGAGGGAGAGAGGGAGAGAAACAAAGACAGAGACAGAGAGACAGAGAGGGAGAGAGATAGAGTTTGTCTTCATGCAGACTTCATTCCAGTTGGGGAAGATACCTATGAGGAACATCACTAATTTAAGTTCCATTATGACAACAGCTGCACAGGTCAAATTTGACAACTTCTATACAGACAAGCTATTGAGGATTGACAACAGGGAATCAAGGCTTGAATCTGACTTTAAAGTCAGAGAGAGCCTTCCTTTGAAACTAGAGACGGAAAAATGAAAGGTGATGGGCAGGTCAGGTGACTGTGTGAGGAGGAGTCTCCAAGGAAAAGGAAAGGAGATGATGCGAGGGATGCCCTGTCTACTAGAGGCTCTTCCTGCTGATGTACAAAAATACCTGACAGAAGAAATTAATGGAGGGAGGTGCATTTTGCCTCCGAGTTTCATGGTGAGGGAGGGATGGCAGCAAGAGCATCTGTAACTGTAATTAATGGCAAGAGGGCGAGGCAGTTAGTCACACAAGTGTTCCTCTCATGACGGAGAAAGGCCGGGAGTGTTGCTCTGTTGGAAGAGTGTTGTTGTGTGACAAAACGTTCCCTGAGGAGATGCAATATGCATGTCTACTCACCCAGATAGGGATCCCACAACAGACCAAAGCCCAACTTGGTGTGACCTACAGGAAACTGGGAAAGGGTTACTTGTAGGAACAGGAAAGACCCAGAGACAGTTGCATCACTGAAGTTCATGAGGGACAGCTTATCAATGCTGAGAACCTGGAACACACTGCACAACCTGCAGGCAGTTCAACTGATTGGAGAGTGTCCTTTCCAGTGCCTCAGGTGGTCTTTAGAACTCTTCCCAGCAACTCATTTAGGTTGTTTCTTCCAAGCAGGGGATCTGATCTCAAGAGTCTTCTTTGCAGCTTGGCTTGTGTACTGGCTGGTTTTGTGTGTCAACTTGACACAAGCTAGGGTCATTAGAGAAGAAGGAGCCTCAGCTGAGGAAATGCCTCCATGAGATCCATCTGTAAGTCATTTTCTCATTTAGTGATCAATGGGGCAGGGTCCAGCCAATTGAGAATGTGGCCATCTCTGGGCAGGTGGTCCTGGATTCTATAAGAAAGCAGGCTAAGCAAACCATGGGAAGCAAGCCAGTAAGCCGCTCTCCTCCAAGGCTTTTGCATCAACTCCTGTCTCCAGGTTCCAGCCCTGCTTGAGTTCCTGTTCTGACTTCCTCCAATGACAGATCATGATCTGGAAGTGTAAGCCAAATAAACACTTGTCTTCCCAACTTGCATTTTGGTCATTGTGTTTTGTAGTGGGAAATAGAAACCCTAATGAAGTGAGCTTGTCTCAGTCTTGTTCTGCTGCTTGTTTCCATTCCTCTGAGAGACTCCTAGCTTTTACAGCTTGCTCTGGCAGGGAGGAGCCTACTGAATCTGGTCAATTTCAGGGACTTCCTGGAGCTATTCTGAGTTATTTACCTTCCTTTTTTAAAGAGCCTCCCTGTAGGATGGAATGTTTGAATCCCAGAAGAAACTATTAACAAGTACTTGCCCTGTATGCACAAAGCCCTGTATTCAGTCTATAGCACCACCTTAAAACTGGGCAAGCATGGTGATAGGCTCCGGCCATCCTAGCTTTGCTGCTTGTTGGCTAACTCTGTGGCCTATGCTTAGCTAGATTTCTTATACAACCTGGAAGTGCTTATTTAAGCTGATGCAAACAGATAAAACTTTAATTCTTTAAATTAAACACAGGTTTTAATTAGATACAGGTGTTAACTCTTTGTTTTATTTTTTTTAACTTTATGTGCAACAATGTTTCACCTGCATGCATGTCTGTGTGAGGATGTCAGATCTTACAATTACAGACAGTTGTAAGCTGCCATGTGGATGCTGGGAATTGAACCCAAGTCCTTTCAGATCAGGTTTTAAATAGCAAGACTGACAAGATGATGGGATTCTTTCTTTCTTTTTAACCTTAATTGTATCAATTACAATGACAAAAATGTAAAAGGACTTTTAAGAATCATTTTATGTATTTAAAGCACAGATACAATGTTTTCTTTGCATGCATTAACCCTATACCCTGTTGTGGGATATTTGTTCACACTGTCTGAAGATGCATCACTGGGATTGGTTTAATAAGAAGCTGACCAACCTTAGCTAGACAAGAAAGGTTAGGCAGGATGTCCAGACAGAGAAGGGAACAGGGAATGACTCTAGACACAGGAGAGAGGTGCCAGTGAGCCGGGGAACTAGTCAGATGTACAGAACAGGAGAGAGGTAGAAGTCATGTGACAGCACATAGATTAATAAAAACAGGTTAATTTAAGTTATAATAGCTAGTTGGGATCAAGCTAAAGGCCAAGCTTCCATAATTAATAAGAAGTCTCTGTGTCATTATTTTGGGACTAGTGAGCCAAAGAAAATTGACAAGAAAGACTCATTATAATACACTTCTAATTCAACAGGTTTCTACATAACATTTAGACAAAGCTCAGATCACAGACTATTAAGCCCTCAAGTGCATGCATCTCTAATTGCAGCCATGTATGTATATATAATAGATATAATAACCCCAAATAGTAGATATTTATTTAACCAGAATTACTAATGATAATGTAAAGAAAATGTTAAAGCAGATAAAAATATTTTTGTTGTAAAGTTGATTCTTGATACAGGGTTTCCCTATTTACTTCAGTCTGACTTTGAACTTGCTGTGCAGCCACTATGAGAAATATTGAATATTGAAACAGGCTGTGTTTATACATACATATTATGTATATAAGTACACATGTTACACACACACATAAAGTAACAATAATGATCAAAGAGAGGGAGTGGAAGAGACAAGGGAGGAGATGGGAATGGGTGAAAACATACAAATGATACAAATACAGTCCTCACGTACAAAGTTTAAAATAAAAATAATTGAAACCCCCTTATTTTAGCATGTGAACTACTTTCTTACCAGCAAAGCATTTCCTTTCCTATTTAGAATTATTTCTCAAAAATTTGTTTTCAAATGTGAAACTTTTAATTATCTTCCTTCTAACTTGATGGCTGCTCTCTACTTTTTGTCTTTACATTTATAATTTGAA